AACCAGCCTGAAACCAGTTGGTAACTAGCCTGAAACCAGTTGGTAACTAGCCTGAAACCAGTTGGTAACTAGCCTGAAACCAGTTGGTAACTAGCCTGAAACCAGTTGGGAACCAGTTGGGAACCAGCCTGAAACCAGTTGGGAACCAGTTGGTAACTAGCCTGAAACCAGTTGGGAACCAGTTGGTAACTAGCCTGAAACCAGTTGGTAACCAGCCTGAAACCAGTTGGTAACTAGCCTGAAAGCAGTTGGTAACTAGCCTGAAACCAGTTGGGAACCAGTTGGTAACCAGCCTGAAACCAGTTGGGAACCAGTTGGTAACTAGCCTGAAACCAGTTGGGAACCAGTTGGTAACTAGCATGACACCAGTTGGTAACTAGCCTGAAACCAGTTGGTAACTAGTTGGTAACTAGCCTGAAACCAGTTGGGAACCAGCCTGAAACCAGTTGGTAACTAGCCTGAAACCAGTTGGTAACTAGCCTGAAACCAGTTGGTAACTAGCCTGAAACCAGTTGGTAACTAGTTGGTAACTAGCCTGAAACCAGTTGGAAACCAGTTGGAAACCAGTTGGTAACTAGCCTGAAACCAGTTGGTAACCAGTTGGTAACTAGCCTGAAACCAGTTGGTAACCAGTTGGTAACTAGCCTGAAACCAGTTGGGAACTAGCCTGAAACCAGTTGGTAACTAGCCTGAAACCAGTTAGTAACCAGTTGGTAACTATCCTCAAACCAGTTGGAAACCAGTTGGAAACCAGTTGGTAACCAGCCTGAAACCAGTTGGTAACTAGCCTGAAACCAGTTGGTAACTAGCCTGAAACCAGTTGGGAACCAGTTGATAACTAGCCTGAAACCAGTTGGTAACCAGCCTGAAACCAGTTGGGAACCAGTTGGTAACTAGCCTGAAACCAGTTGGGAACCAGTTGGTAATTAGCCTGAAACCAGTTGGTAACCAGCCTGAAACCAGTTGGGAACCAGTTGGTAACTAGCCTGAAACCAGTTGGGAACCAGCCTGAAACCAGTTGGTAACTAGCCTGAAACCAGTTGGTAACTAGCCTGAAACCAGTTGGGAACCAGCCTGAAACCAGTTGGTAACTAGCCTGAAACCAGTTGGAAACCAGTTGGGAACCAGTTGGTAACTAGCCTGAAACCAGTTGGTAACCAGCCTGAAACCAGTTGGGAACCAGTTGGTAACTAGCCTGAAACCAGTTGGTAACTAGCCTGAAACCAGTTGGTAACCAGCCTGAAACCAGTTCGAAACCAGTTGGTAACTAGCCTGAAACCAGTTGGGAACCAGTTGGTAACTAGCCTGAAACCAGTTGGGAACCAGCCTGAAACCAGTTGGTAACTAGCCTGAAACCAGTTGGTAACCAGCCTGAAACCAGTTGGTAACCAGCCTGAAACCAGTTCGAAACCAGTTGGTAACTAGCCTGAAACCAGTTGGAAACCAGTTGGGAACCAGTTGGTAACTACCCTGAAACCAGTTGGGAACTAGCCTGAAACCAGTTGGTAAACTAGCCTGAAACCAGTTAGTAACCAGTTGGTAACTATCCTCAAACCAGTTGGAAACCAGTTGGTAACTAGCCTGAAACCAGTTGGTAACTAGCCTGAAACCAGTTGGTAACTAGCCTGAAACCAGTTGGGAACCAGTTGATAACTAGCCTGAAACCAGTTGGTAACCAGCCTAAAACCAGTTGGGAAACAGTTGGTAACTAGCCTGAAACCAGTTGGGAACCAGCCTGAAACCAGTTGGTAACTAGCCTGAAACCAGTTGGTAACTAGCCTGAAACCAGTTGGGAACCAGTTGGTAACCAGCCTGAAACCAGTTGGGAACCAGTTGGTAACTAGCCTGAAACCAGTTGGGAACCAGTTGGTAATTAGCCTGAAACCAGTTGGTAACCAGCCTGAAACCAGTTGGGAACCAGTTGGTAACTAGCCTGAAACCAGTTGGGAACCAGCCTGAAACCAGTTGGTAACTAGCCTGAAACCAGTTGGTAACTAGCCTGAAACCAGTTGGTAACTAGTTGGTAACTAGCCTGAAACCAGTTGGGAACCAGCCTGAAACCAGTTGGTAACTAGCCTGAAACCAGTTGGAAACCAGTTGGAAACCAGTTGGTAACTAGCCTGAAACCAGTTGGAAACCAGTTGGAAACCAGTTGGCAAGTAGCCTGAAACCAGTTGGTAACTAGCCTGAAACCAGTTGGTAACCAGTTGGCAACTAGCCTGAAACCAGTTGGTAACCAGTTGGCAACTAGCCTGAAACCAGTTGGAAAAAAGTTGGCAACTAGCCTGAAACCAGTTGGTAACTAGCTTGAAACCAGTTGGTAACCAGCCTGAAACCAGTTGGTAACCAGTTGGTAACTAGCCTGAAACCAGTTGGCAACTAGCCTGAAACCAGTTGGTAACTAGCCTGAAATCAGTTGGTAACCAACCTGAAACCAGTTGGTAACCAGTTGGTAACTAGCCTGAAACCAGTTGGAAACCAGTTGGCAACTAGCCTGAAACCAGTTGGTAACTAGCATGAAACCAGTTGGTAACCAGCCTGAAACCAATTGGTAACTAGTCTGAAACCAGTTGGAAACCAGTTGGTAACTAGCCTGAAACCAGTTGGAAACCAGTTGGTAACCAGTTGGCAACTAGCCTGAAACCAGTTGGAAACCAGTTGGCAAGTAGCCTGAAACCAGTTGGAAGCCAGTTGGTAACTAGCCTGAAACCAGTTGGCAACTAGCCTGAAACCAGTTGGAAACCAGTTGGTAACCAGCCTGAAACCAATTGGTAACTAGCCTGAAACCAGTTGGTAACTAGCCTAAAACCAGTTGGTAACCAGCCTGAAACCAATTGGTAACCAGCCTGAAACCAGTTGGTAACTAGCCTGAAACCAGTTGGAAACCAGTTGGGAACCAGTTGGTAACTAGCCTGAAACCAGTTGGTAACTAGCCTGAAACCAGTTGGTAACTAGCCTGAAACCAGTTAGTAACCAGTTGGTAACTATCCTCAAAGCAGTTGGAAACCAGTTGGGAACCAGTTGGTAACTAGCCTGAAACCAGTTGGGAACCAGTTGGAAGCCAGTTGGTAACCAGTTGGCAACTAGCCTGAAACCAGTTGGTAACTAGCCTGAAACCAGTTGGTAACCAGTTGGCAACTAGCCTGAAACCAGTTGGAAACCAGTTGGTAACCAGCCTGAAACCAATTGGTAACTAGCCTGAAACCAGTTGGTAACTAGCCTGAAACCAGTTGGTAACCAGCCTGAAACCAATTGGTAACCAGCCTGAAACCAGTTGGTAACTAGCCTGAAACCAGTTGGAAACCAGTTGGGAACCAGTTGGTAACTAGCCTGAAACCAGTTGGTAACTAGCCTGAAACCAGTTAGTAACCAGTTGGTAACTATCCTCAAAGCAGTTGGAAACCAGTTGGGAACCAGTTGGTAACTAGCCTGAAACCAGTTGGTAACTAGCCTGAAACCAGTTGGAAACCAGTTGGGAACCAGTTGGGAACCAGTTGGTAACCAGCCTGAAACCAGTTGGTAACTAGCCTGAAACCAGTTGGAAACCAGTTGGGAACCAGTTGGTAACTAGCCTGAAACCAGTTGGTAACTAGCCTGAAACCAGTTGGGAACCAGCCTGAAACCAGTTGGTAACTAGCCTGAAACCAGTTGGTAACTAGCCTGAAACCAGTTGGGAACCAGTTGGTAACCAGCCTGAAACCAGTTGGGAACCAGTTGGTAACTAGCCTGAAACCAGTTGGGAACCAGTTGGTAACTAGCCTGAAACCAGTTGGGAACCAGCCTGAAACCAGTTGGTAACTAGCCTGAAAGCAGTTGGTAACTAGCCTGAAACCAGTTGGGAACCAGTTGGTAACCAGCCTGAAACCAGTTGGGAACCAGTTGGTAACTAGCCTGAAACCAGTTGGGAACCAGTTGGTAACTAGCCTGAAACCAGTTGGTAACCAGCCTGAAACCAGTTGGGAACCAGTTGGTAACTAGCCTGAAACCAGTTGGGAACCAGTTGGTAACTAGCCTGAAACCAGTTGGTAACCAGCCTGAAACCAGTTGGTAACCAGCCTGAAACCAGTTGGTAACCAGCCTGAAACCAGTTCGAAACCAGTTGGTAACTAGCCTGAAACCAGTTGGAAACCAGTTGGGAACCAGTTGGTAACTAGCCTGAAACCAGTTGGTAACTAGCCTGAAACCAGTTTGTAACCAGTTGGTAACTATCCTCAAACCAGTTGGAAACCAGTTGGTAACCAGCCTGAAACCAGTTGGTAACTAGCCTGAAACCAGTTGGTAACTAGCCTGAAACCAGTTGGAAACCAGTTGGTAACCAGCCTGAAACCAGTTGGTAACTAGCCTGAAACCAGTTGGTAACTAGCCTGAAACCAGTTGGTAACTAGTTGGTAACTAGCCTGAAACCAGTTGGGAACCAGTCTGAAACCAGTTGGGAACCAGCCTGAAACCAGTTGGGAACCAGCCTGAAACCAGTTGGTAACTAGCCTGAAACCAGTTGGGAACCAGCCTGAAACCAGTTGGTAACTAGCCTGAAACCAGTTGGGAACTAGCCTGAAACCAGTTGGTAACTAGCCTGAAACCAGTTGGTAACTAGTTGGTAACTAGCCTGAAACCAGTTGGGAACCAGTCTGAAACCAGTTGGTAACTAGCCTGAAACCAGTTGGTAACTAGCCTGAAACCAGTTGGGAACCAGCCTGAAGCCAGTTGGTAACTAGCCTGAAACCAGTTGGGAACTAGCCTGAAACCAGTTGGTAACTAGCCTGAAACCAGTTGGTAACTAGCCTGAAACCAGTTGGGAACCAGTCTGAAACCAGTTGGGAACCAGCCTGAAACCAGTTGGTAACTAGCCTGAAACCAGTTGGGAACCAGCCTGAAACCAGTTGGGAACTAGCCTGAAACCAGTTGGTAACTAGCCTGAAACCAGTTGGTAACTAGTTGGTAACTAGCCTGAAACCAGTTGGGAACCAGTCTGAAACCAGCTGGCACTTCAGGGCTCTGACCTGTCATAGCGGAGGAAAATGTTGTTGAGGTCGTCGTTGGCGTGCAGCAGCTCCTCAGTCACCGCCTCGTTGGAGACGCAGGAGATGAGCTCCACTATCCTCTGCTGCATGGCTCGGCACGTCCTGTTCAGCTCCTGTCAACGCAGACAGACGATCCGTGGTTTATGATGGTGTTCAGAGTTAGCCCAAGGTTGAGGTTGAGGCCTGGGGCCCAAAGCCTGACCTGCAGCAGCTCGTAGTCTGAAGTGTCCTCCTGCCCCGGCACCATCTCCGTCAGCATCTCTGACATCACCTTGGTGTTTCCACGGACGACGTCCAGCTCGCTGCGGAGCCTGCTAATCTGAGTAACACAAACACCGACAATCATTAGGCTGCAAGCTGAAATGAACACCAAATAAAGCTGCCGTTTGTAACTTTAATAAGTATATCTATCCATCCATTGTCTGCTGCTTATCCGGGGTCGGGACCCGATGGTAGCCGCAAAAGAAGGAAGGCCCAGACTTCCCTCTCCCAGTCTCTTTTTCCAGCTCCTCCAGGGGAATCCCAAGGCGTTCCTGAGCTAGTCGGGAGACATAGTCTCTCCAGCGTATCCTGGGTCTCCTCCCAGGGACGACAACACCTCACCAGGGAGGCGTCCAGGAGGCATCCTAACCAGATGCCCGAGCCTCAGCTGGATCCTCTCGATGTGGAGGAGCAGCGGCTCTACTCTGAGTCCCTCCCGGATGAGCGAGCTTCTCTCTCTAAGGGAGAGCCCAGCCACCCTATGGAGGAAACCCATTTAGGCCTCTTGTATCAACGAACTTGTTGTCATGACCCAAAACTCATGACCATAGATGAGGGTAGGAATGTAGATCGAACGGTAAATCAAGAGCTTTAGCACTCTCTTTTCACCATGACGGACCGGTAAAGCACCGCTTCACGGCGGACGCTGCGCTAATCCGCCTGTCGATCTCCCATTCCCTTCTTCCCCCATTTGTGAACAAGATCCCAAGATACTTGAACTCCTTCCCTTGAGGCAGGACATCCCCCCTGACCTGGAGAAGGCACTTTACGCTTTTCCAGCTCAATACCATGGCCTTGGATTTGGAGGCACTGTTCCTCATCCCGGCCGCTTCACACTCGGCTGCGAACTGCCCCAGTGAGAGCCGCAGATCACGTCCTGATGAAGCCAACAGGACCACATCATCTGCAAAAAGCAGAGATGCAATCCTGAGGCCACCAAAACGGATCCCCTCAACACCCTGGCTGCGCCTACAAATTCTGTCCATAAAAGTAATGAACAGAATCAGTGACAAAGGGCAGCCCTGGCGGAGTCCAACTCTCACCGGAAACGAGCCCGACTTATTGCCGGCAATGCGGACCAGACTCTGACATCGGTCATACAGGGACCTGACAGCCAGTAACAAAAGGCCCGGTACCCCATACTCAAGGAGAACCCCCACAGGGACACGGTCAAACGCCTTCTCCAAGTCCACAAAACATATGTGGACCGGTTGGGCGACCTCCCAGAACTCTCCAGGACCCTGCTGAGGGTGTAGAGCTGGTCCAGTGTTCCACCACCAGAACCGGAACCACACTGCTCTTCCTGAATCCGAGGTTCGACATGGTGTTTGTTTATGACCAATCTGTAACGAGCACAGAAGTTCAACAACAGAACACCACTTGAGTTCAGATTCGGCGGCCGTTCCTTGCAACCGAGCCCCTCCAGGACTCACTGGAGGGGCTTCACGTGAGCATTGAAGTCCCCCAGCAAAACAAGGGAGTCCCCAAGAGGGACACTCTCCAGTACCCCCTCTAAGGACTCAAAGGGTGGGTAATCTGAACCGTCGCTCGGCCCGCAAGTACAGTCAGAACCCGTCCCCCCACCTGTTTACCTGGCGCCTGTACGCTGGGGTTTACCCAGCGTACAGGCGCCGAGATGGGGAGCAACAAGTATGCCCACTCCTGCCTCTTACCCTGGGCAACTCCAGAGTGGAAGTGCATCCAGCCCCTCTCAAGGAGACTGGTTCCAGAACCAGTCATGCGTTGAGGTGAGACCGACTATTTCTAGCTGGAACCTCTCAGCCTCACACAGCTGTGGCTCCTTCTCCACCAGAGAGGTGACATTCCACGTCCCAAGAGCCAGCTTCTGCAACCGAGGATCGGACTGCCAGGACCCCCTCCCTCGGCCGCCACCCATCACACACTGCACCCGACACCTCTGGCCCCTCCGACAGGTGGTGGACCCATGTGTCCTCTTCGGGCTGAGCCATGGGTAAAAGCCCGGCCACTAGGCGCTCGCCAACGTGTCCCACCTCTGGGCCTGGCTCCAGAGTGGGGCCCTGGTGACCCGCGTCCGGGCGAGGGGACATGAAATCCAAAGGTCTTATTTGTCATTGTGGTCTTCGGGCTGCACTTTGTCTGGTGCCTCACCGAGGACCTGTCTACTTTGGGTGACCCTAACAGGCGCAAGGAGCCCCAGACAGCAGAGCTGCTAGGATCATTGGGGCCCTCAGACCCCTCCACCACGATAAGGTGGCAGTCCAAGGAGAGGTTTAATAAGAATATGTTTTTACATATTTATTAAACTGACTCCAAGTTTTTCCAGTCTGTGAACAGATCGATCCTCTCCTGCTCCTCCCTGAGCAGCTGCTGCCTGAAACCATTCAGGATCAAAAACAACCAATCAGAGCCAGGGGGAGGGACTTAGAGCTGTCAATTAACTTCATGTACTCGCTGCTAAATGTGCTAATGGCAGAGAAACAACTTACCATTACAGGAAACTGTTTATTCTCTGTCATCGGTGGCTATGCTAACAAGCATTAGCCTTTACGCTACAGCTATGCTATCTGTAGCGTAGCAGGGGGCAAATGTGAAGATGAGCAGCACATCATGGAGGGGGATTGACAGCGCTAAGTCCCGCATCCCGGCTCTTATTGGTTGTTAGAATTGTGAGAAATCAGAGGAGCTTCAGTTTTCACAGCTTATCTTTTCAAACCATCATGACATTTTCAACAAATATTAAAAAACATTATTAAAGTTACATATTGCAGCTTTAAATCACTAAACCTGCTTTGATCTGCGTTTAGATAAATCATCAGGTCAGTGAAGGTTTGCTGCAGCACCTGCTCAGGACTGGGGGTGACGGCGCCACCCGGCTGCAGGCTGGGGGCCTGCGGCGCGCTGTAGGCCGGTGGGATGGGCTGCGGCGCAGCTTTAGTCTTGCTGCTGCTGCTGCTGCTGCTGTACTTGTGGAGCGCGGAGTCGCCCTCTGGAGCCGACGCCACCTACAAACAACACACGAGGCCATGGATAAAGCTGCTGAGGTCAGAGGTCAGGGCGTTCAGTGAGGAGCGGCGGCGGCTCCGACCCGCTGAGGGGTGTGGATGGGCGACAGCGTCTCCAGCTCTGAGGTGGGGAACTCGATGCCTTTCCTCTTCAGCTCCTCGTACACCTGAACCACACCTGTGAGGTCCGGACTGCTCCTGAACGCATCGGCCCAAGCCTGCAGGAAGAGAACCAGCAACCAGCAGTTAACCCGCTTCGTGTCTGAGCCGAAACCCTTTAGCAGCCATCTTCAGAGCAGAGGCTTCACACGGCAGCATTTACAGAGTCTGTTCCTAAAAATTAGAGCTGAAACGACTCATCAGATCAATCGATTATTGAATTAACCTGCAACTATTTTAGTAATCAATTCATCGTTAACTGGAGCATATGCGCTAAAAAAGGGCAATCAGAGCAGAAATTAAACCAAAACTGTAGAAAACTTTGTGCATGCAAGATAAAACCCTTCTTTATCTGTAGATATGTGAGTTAGTTTGTACTTTTGGTTTAATTATCGATCTGAATTATTATTCCAAATCAATCAATTCGTCTGTCCAGTTGTTCCAGCTCTACTTCAGTAGCGCCGTCCTGACAGCCACTCAGGTGGAAACTGGAGCTGCAGAGTCACCTGATCTGGTTCAGGTAACCCAATGCACTGCAGAACCAGTGACTACCTGCAGCTGTCCTACCTGGATCAGAGCCAGGACTTTGTCTTGAACGATGGTGGGCGGGTTGTTCTTAGGAGAGATGACTTTAACGAGGACGCCGTCCACAAAGTCCTTACTGGTCACCAAGGCGTGGAATCGATGGCCGCAGTTCTTCACACACGTCTCTAGAACCTGGTGGAGACGCAGCTGCTGTCAGCGCGTTTCATCACAGAAGAGAGGCAACCTTCACTCCCCAGATGTGCTGACAGATTAATCCTGCAGCTGCTGCATCTCACCGTGAGAGTCAGCATCACTTCCCTGTAGTTCCTGTTGCCACTCAGCCGCTTCTTCACCGCTCTCATGGCGTCCTTCGGCCTGAAGGGAAGAGACACAGAGCCGGGCGTCAGCCTGGCCTTCTGAGGCCTTCGCATGGGTTCAGACGGGACAAATACCAAAAACACACCATGAGAAGAAAGATAACCAGCGACATCTTCAGGGAGACACCATTAAAACTTTTTCACTCCCTATCAATCAATCAATCAATCCAAATAAAATGGATTATGAAATCTGTTGTTCTCACGGGGCCAGCTCTGACCGAAGGCTCGAGTCATCCAGAGTTTTCATAGACCGATGAGGGAAAGCAATCATGCAAATGAAAATGGTCAAGTTCCCTTTAATTTATCATGCATTTAGTTGAATATTGCAACAAGCTTCAAAACATGAACGTGTTAAAGTAAAAAGTGTTGCTAATACTGGATGGATCAGCAGGTGAGGGAAAGTGAAAACAAAGAAAAAGTGTCATTATTCTCTCAGAGTCCACCTTCACTCATGCTGAGTAAAACCTGTTTTATCATTGAACCGATTCAGCTGAAGCTGCTCTGGAGGGAGAGTCAGGCAGCTGCAGCGTTTCAGTGCAGGTTATTTTAATGTGAAGGAGATCTGCCAGCCGGCCGTTTACAACCCACTAATCAAACAGAGAGCTGGACTTCACACACCAGCTAAAGGAATAAAAGCAGACATTATGGAGCAGGAGATAAGCACCGAGGCCCGACACACCCAGATCTGGACTCCTTTTCTCACCTCGGCCCAGGAATGGAGGACAGGTGAGGGAGGAACTCCTTCAGTCAGCCTTTCCTCAGCTGAAAGCAGCCGACTACAGATTATTAGCCTACAGTGATGGCTACTCACTCACCCGTCCTCTGTCTCATTGATGATGTCACAGATCTCCATGTTGAGGGTCCAGTCTTCACTCTGCAGGGACCCATCAGTGGCTCTCTCTGGAACAAGCATTAAAACATTAACGTCTTTCCATAAACACAGCAGCCTGGTGGCTAGCAGAGAGCTAACTTCACCTCAGCCCCTAAGCTAAAACAGGCCTGACTGCTAATACAGTTAGCACCAACTAGCGTTAATCTCAACCACACAGGGGAGACGTCTAACTAGTTAACATCCAGGTTTCCACGGTGACCAGGGAGGACTAGCGGCTCGTTAGCTCAGCGGCTAACGGAGGCGCCACTCATTCAGAGACGTCAGCATGCTAAAGTAGCAACATTTTAAAGGACTTCTCCACTTAAACCTCGAAGATGCCCATCTTCCCGCTGCGGCCTCGGGACATTCGGACTCACCGACACAATGACCCACCGGGGTACTGAAAGGATTTCCCAGAAGGAACTCCATCTTGCTCGACAACAAACAAGTCAGTCCATGGGACGACGGTGATGATGCAATAGGAAACGTCCAACTAAGCCCCGCCCACAGACTTACACAATTGGTCAGCACGTTCTAGGGCTTTATTTTGATTGGACAGTCCCAATACTAATTAATGCACTGTCCATAAGGCATGCCAAAGGTTGGTCGATAAACTCCTGATAAGGGAACTGTAATAGTCATCTTATCAATGTAATTATGAAAATAAAGAATATGTTCTACTTTCTTTTATTGCCATACAACAGGTAACAGTAACAGGAATTGAAAGAGGTCACACAATATAATAATTTAATCAATAATTAGGCTACAAATATTCTAATTAAAATGAAGTTGTAGATAAATGCATTGGAGATATTATAATTATTTCAGTCAATAAATTCTTAGGTGAAGAATTATTCAAATCAATTGAAAAATAGTTTGTTGGCCCTAAAGTGAAACTGTAGCTGTAACTCATATTATCCAAAGTTCATCAACGTTACAGATGGTGATGGATGTGTGCAGCAAGGATCTCCAGTAACAGTCTGCACTACAGCAAATGTGAAGAAGCCTCTGACTGACATAGAAAGTCCCAGAGACTTTCTATGTCTAGATTATGACTCGGAAAGTTAAAATTATGACCTTAAAACTCTAAATTGTGACTTTTTGTTGGGCTTTCATTTTTTTCTTTCCTAGCAGAAATGGGCTTCCATACGTTTGTGCTTGTTAGGGTCAGACTGTAACCCATTTTTAATTCAAGGTCACGAGTTCAGAGTTCAAGACAACAAAAAACAAAGAGGTTGATCAGAGAATCCAATATGGCTATCGTCCATAAAAACCTCAAGAATTTCTTTAGATCCAAAAACACATGAATCCAAACCTCCAGCTGAGAGCATTCAGACAGGCCTCTGTCGCCATCTTGTTCTCATTTATTGCTCTGAAGAGGGCAGAGGTCATGTGGGATTTGTTTGGTCATGTGACAGTGATGCAGTGCAGGCGTGGAGTTTTTTAACTGACTGTATTTTTTTATACGTTATATTAATATCAGTTTTGGCTAAATTTCATATCAGAGCATCTCTAAATCTCCTTAGTCTTGATCACATCCAAGAATCTAATTCCAAACTCTGAGATCAGTTGGGACCTTTTTCAGTAATTCTTCAACCTGCAGCACTTGGGGTCAAAGGTTAAACCCAACAAACACGTTTTCTGTTGTGAAGTTTGAAATCATTGGGATATTCCAGCTGCTGGTTGCTGTGAGAACAGAAACAAGCTGGAAAAGTTACTCGCATACAAACTCCTGGACAGATGAGCTTGGTATTTATTGACATGACACTTTATTTTGAAAGGGTTGAGGATCAACCTGGTCCAGAACGCCCCAACAGAAAGTGAAGAGTCAAAACATTTTAAAAACCTACAAAAAGAAAAACTGATCTGAGATTTAGATGACCTGACAGCAGTCCACTGTGATTGGCCACTCCAGAACCATGTGACCCGGACGGTCTGGACGTTTCTGGGCCGGTTTCCAGAACCCGCCAATCAGTCCTGCATCAGTTTGTGTTTGACGGTTGAGCTCTCGGATGAGAGGTGAACGAACAGCGCTCCTGCTGCCGTCCGCGCCTGCAGCTCATACATGTCGTAGTCGTGAGCCCATTCCACGTTTCCCCAGCGCCGAATCTGACAAACAACCACAAAAAATCAAAGCTAAAGCAGGTCAAGTTCAGCCAACACATCTTTGAAAAACGTTTGAAAGCCGACAAAATCTTGCTCAGACCAATCTGAAAGACAAACAGGCCTAACTGTGAGCAGCTGACAGAAAACCCACTCGATTCCCTTCTGATACGATACCGATATCTGAGGTTCAGTTTCAGCTGATACCGATCCGATACAGAAAAACAGCTGAACTGACTTAAAACATTTAGTTTTTTTAAAACACAGACATAAATGTACAGAATTACTCATTTATTTGATAAATAAATTGAATTGAATTTATTTGTCCACTGAACAGCTCATTCAAATACAGCAGTAGCGCCACCAGCTGGTCAAACACAGAAAAACAACTTTAACCTGCAGGCAGAAGCAAATCAGCCAATGGAAAATAAGAAACTGACTAAAGAAATAATTTCTCTACTTTGGTGAAATATGTAAAAATAACCGAACAGTGGTTCAGAAAGTTCAATTAGGCATTTTGAATTTAATGGAAAACAAATAAAGAATAGAAATAGACTGAATAGATCTGCCCTTTGAATCAGCCATATTGTCATCGATTCTCAGTCTAGAAATGATTTCAATATCGATACAGATATCAATATTGGATCGGTGTGTCTCCCTCCCTAGACCAAGTGCGGTTCTGTAATTGGTCGGTTCTACCTGGTATTCCTCCTCCAGTCTGGACAGCAGCACGGCCCGCTCTACGCTCAGGTGCCGGTCCAGCATTCCCAGTGACAGAACCAGAGACTTCAGCTGTGTGATAATGAACTCCAACCCTGCACAGCAGCAGACACACGTCAGCAGGAACCGGCGCCTGGCCCGGCCCAAAGCGGCGCCCCACAGCGAGCCTCACCTGTCAGGGACCAGAGGGAGAAGGAGCCCAGGTGCTGTCTGAACGTCTCCTTGGTTCCCTCTGGGATCTCAGGACCCAGAATGCTGGATGAGGATCCGATAGTGACGTTGTATCTGTCAGTGAAACACAGGTCAGCGGGTCGCTGTTGTTGCAGCTCGTCTCCAGCTGAATCTGTTACCTGCTTTCGATCCAGTGCAGCACAGGATCCCACTCATTCCTCTGCAGCTCAACCAAACCTGGAGGCTCATCTACTCTGTAGCTAAAAACAAAGAGAGCAGCTTTACAACAGAATACCTATTTTAATTTCACTCTTGAAAATTCAATCTAATCTCAAGTCCAGAAACACACAGTTTGTTCTTCCACAAAACTTTTCCATTAATGTTTTTGTTTTTTCGATGAAAAGTCCAATGAACGCTGAATGAAGCTTTTGGGTTCTGGTGCATCCCTGTTAGTTCCTTAGTTTGATACAGCCAAACCAGGTTTTACAGACTCTACAGCAACATGGCAGCATGATAAAACTATTCAGACCAGAGAGGTCAGAACCTGGAAACAGCAGAAGGAGAGTTTAGGTCCAGTGAGACTGAGAAAATAGGAAATGTATCTGCAGGTTTTAAAGGCAGAAAGTCTACATTTTGGCTAGAGACAATTAATGTTTCCTTTAAATGCAGCAGCAGCAGAAGAGAAGGTTTATTTCAAACGTGATACCAGATGGTGTCGGTTTCCAGAAACTTCAGAGCGGCGCTGATCATCTGCTGTTTGCTGCGCTGAGTGGGATTATCCAGAGCCGTGTTGCACAGAGTGGTCTGCGGAAAACATTTCATCATCAGTTCAAATTCATCAGGACAAAGATCTGCTCTGACGTTACAGCTTCGTCTGCTCAGGTGATGCTCATCATGTCTCAAATTCTGGTTTCAGCTTTTTGGTAAAACTGGGATTATTTCTCCTGTTTCCATCAGACTGACAGACACGCTGCCTTTTGTATGGTTATATGTGATCAATCAAACATACTGGTGTAACCTGGTTGAATTTATATGTTGTTATAATTACTCAAAATGTTTTTCTTTGGTTATTTGTATGGGTTCCTACCTGACTGAAAATCTCTGTTATTGTTTTAACTGTGTTACTTTAAGAACGGAAGCCCCTCCCCTTTTGTTTCTTCCTCTGTGGTATTGCCTTTAAAATGTTTGCGTCCCTTAGACCCTCCCCTTTTATCATGTTGTCCTGTGGGAGAGGTGTGCATTATTTATTTTGTATCTAAATACATCCAGTTTATTTATAGATTTATTAAGTTAATTTCTGTTATGTACTTTTGTTTATGTAGGGCTTGGAGCGGGCCGCCGGTAACACGGCTATTTCTATTTGTTATTCTTGTCAGGTATGTTGTATAGAAAGGTTTATTTTGCATATTTAACATGTTGTGAGCTAAGACCCGCCCCTTTTGTCATGTTGTCCTGTGGGAGAGGGCTTGGAGCGGGCAGCCTGTAACACGGCTATTTCTATTTGTTATTCTTGTCAGAATAAACCCTTTTCAAGGTGAACCACGGCCTGATCATTTAAAACCAGCACAACGCAGATCGGATCCGGTTACACTGGCACATATCTGGTGGAGCCGTACCAGATGCATGGTGTAGAACTTGATGGAGTCTTTCTGAGCGTCCCACTCCGTAGCCACGGCGATGGCCAGCGCTTCATTTGGCACGGTGAACAGCTTCCCACTGGGGGTCTTCAACTTTCTTCTGTCCAGGTTTACCTCATACAGACCACCTGGAGGTTCAATCACATCATGAACACATCATCCACTGTACAGCAGCATCTGGGGAGCCTCTCCTTTTCCCAATAAACTGGTGCTGGGCTTTTGTTTTATATTAATGCTTACCTTCACCTTGGGATATACTGACATCTTGGTAAAATCTTTTCCTCTCTAGCAAAGAGCAAAACGATCCATTGAGAACATAAGACAGTAGAGTTGCAACAAAGATGTATCTGCGCAGGTTCATCCTACCTGCTGAGGCTGTGGCGTATTTCATCGCATTCCTGAAGAGTTCATGACTGGGACACGCTTTACAAAAGGTGAAGCGGCTCTGCAGTCTGATAACACTTTTAAACATAGCGGAGCTTAATGAAGAGTCACAGTAGATAAAATCACAGATAAACGACAGCTCTTCATTTAAATTCACCGCTAAAGGAGTCCGTCTCCTTTAGCGGTGAGTAGCTAACTATCCAGCAGCTAAGCTAATTTCTGCAGTTTTGGTTTGTTTCTCGTGTTGCGCCGCAGCTTCTCTGTTCAAAAACACGATTCTGACCTTCTCCTTCAAACTTCTTCCCAAACGTCTTACCTGAAGGGAAATGTAGTCTTATAGATCGTCTGTAGAACCATGTAACCCCACGAAATAAACTACAATCAAATATTCACGTAAAGTCTTCCGCGGTTTACTCCAATCAGCGTTTCCGATGTTTGGGACGTGAATTCCGTTGACCAATGAGAGAGGCTGATGCTCCCGGTCAGAGCGTGGCGACGAAGTCCACTTTACTTCTCGGGTAGCTTG